GAAAGAAAGAAAGAAAGAAAGAAAGAAAGAAAGAAAGAAAGAAAGAAGTGCTTTAATGCTACTGCAGAACCAAATGTATCTTTAGAACTCTAGTATTCCTATATGTGTTCGAATAGCTACAGGGAATACATTTCATGAAAAAAATTCTATGCAGCCACCATGAATTCTAACGGAGAATGTCTGGGGGCAGCCCTCAGTGGAATGTGCCTTAAATCAGTAGACATTATAGTTATCTAGGCTCAGATATACAATGGAAATGACTATCTAGTTAGTGGAAGGCAATGCAATTATTGTATTCTTATGTTTATTTAAGATTTGTAACCAATTGTTGCAGACAAGGAATGTACCGTCATGTGGGATTTTCTATTCAATTCTGAGAAATAAGTACAGTAACTAACAACAGTATTATATGTACTACATTTAATAAACCTTTTATGTTTTTTTTAAAGCGGGAGGAGAAATTACAACTTTAATATTTGTATTATTTTTTCATATCTCTTCTGGGTGAATCTTATAACATTTTTTATCCATTGCTCTTGAAGAACTCATTGGAGTTTTAAATGGCAGCACAGATGTGCCAATGTGTGCAGCATCTTGACTATAAATATGAAAATTATTCACTAATATGCCCAGTTGTTTGAAGTTATTATAATCTAGGGATGCACATGACCTTTGATATGATATATGGAATCAAGGGAAACATTCTCATTGGTAAATGATTAGCTAATAATTTTTCCTTAAGGTAGAGTCATTACATACATATCCAGCCAAATTCCTATTTTAACATCATAAAGGGACTAATTTCCTCCTTATGCAGCACCCGAGAATTTCTTCTAATAGCAGATTTAGAGCCCAGCTAAAGCAAGATGGGTGCATTTCAGGGAAACTATTCTCTACAAAATAAAAGTCCTCCTCAGGTTGATTGGAAAGAGAGGGTTATAAAGCAGGACAAAGCATTTCATTCATATTCATTCATTCATTCATTCTGAAGTAGAACTGTCTTCATTCTAATTTTATTTCCTGGAATTCCATCATTCTTGGAATTATGTCTTTTTTTGGAGCGTGTGGATCACCTCAGAAAGAAACTCCTTTTTTAAATTAAAAATGTTTCCAAAAACACAAATTAAGAAAAGAAGCAGCTTTGAATAGACAGCAGTGAATGAGAAACAAATAAACAACAAAAGAAGCAGGGATAGGTTTATGAAATCATTTGCCCTCAAAGCCTTCTCCCCTTTTGTCTTTTGTTCATTAACATTTAGTGCAGCCCTTGGAAAGTGATTTTAGCTCTTTTTAACACAAGGGCTATTTGAGGAGATCTAACTAATAAGTAGTGGAGAATCAGCAGCTGTAGACTATTAAACAGACAAGCCCCTTGGAACTAAGATACTAAGAGGTTTGAGAATCCATATTTAATCTCAGGCTGTCAACTCAGCAATGCTGTTAGCACATTTTGAAATAAGGTAACGTTTCAATGGTAATGTTGCCAAGCTCAGCACTGAACCTGAACCATTTCCAGGTCAGATTGAGGCTATGATGGTAATCCCCAAACAGACAACCAGATAGTATAAGTGTTCAAAGTCCCAGAGGCCTGAGGTCAGAGTGGTCATTTCAGCTCCTGCTTCAAATATGAGTTAGTAGATACTGCTCTTTCAATCAAGCAAAAAGAAAAGGGTTGGTAGCTTTTATTTATTACCTGGCTAAGCCAAATCATACCAACCTACTGGCTTCATACTGAATGCCATTTGCTGGGGTCAGTAATGTCTATCCTGTGAAAAGCTCTCAGAAGAATGAATGAATGGTTCAAGGTGAGTCAATTACAGTGTTCCTTAAATGACTGCAAGCCATTCAGGGCCTGGGACTGCAAAACAACCTCAAACCATTATAATCCCATCTTCATGCTTCACAATTATTTTGCATTAATTCTGTTCACTGCTCAGAGTCACTTGCTGAGATGGGCAGCCATATAAACTGGATAAATAAATAAGGATGAGGTTGTTTTGTTGGAATGCAGTATTTCATTTTGTCCAAACACATCATTTCACATTTTGCCAACAAGTTTCACTTTCATCTCACAAAACATAGTTCTAATATTCTGCTGTATTATTTAGATGATCTTTGGCAAAGTTGAAATATGTGCTACATGTAGTCCAGCAGAGCCATTTTGGCAGTCCTCCAAAACCCACCCCACTGCTGATACTTGACCACAAAGAAGATAATTTTCAGCCAGTGTGATTTTTTTTTTTTTTGCTTTTGTAAAAGCAATTGTAAAATATATTGAATAACAACCATGAAACCCACACCCTCCCCCAAATGTTAGTCCATTCCCTCCAGTGATCTTATCACACAACCATGATATCTCTGTGGCCCTCAGAGGCAAATATGGGCCTTAACTAAAGAAAAATTGCCCATCCCTGGTTTAAACAAACAATGGCAGAAGTGTGAATCTGACACACAAATAAGGGGATGAGAAGGGATTTCCTTTGAGCACATTTAAACAATTCAAGGAGTTTACTATTATGGATTAGTATTTTCATGGTCATATGTACTATACAACAATTACCTCATGGGGTACATAATCAGGGGGCAGTTTCTCAAGCATATCTTCAGCTGATCTATACACAATAGCTTCTCGAGTTTCTCCTACTCCACCTCCACTTTCTTTTGGTTGAATATTGGTAATAGTGTTCAAGACATCAGCTGCTGTGTTACTCTGATATCTGAAAGGAATATTAAATGATACGTAATAAAGTCAGAACTTATAAGAACAATAAATTGTCAAATAGAATTGTTATAAATGACCCACACTGAAAAGTCACAGACAGTTCAATCGGATCCTGCTATTCTGGCACTGGGAAAAAAGAGAACAAATTCATCAATCTGAAGATGATCAAACCGTGATTCGTCATGACATTGAACATAACCAGAAGATGGCTTTCGTATGATTTATTTCTGAGACTTTAAAACAGGCAAGGCCAACTAGCAGCCCATAATACTGTGAAACACAGAGTTGCATTTATTAGTAAAAAAAATCCATATCTGTGTTCATGTATAATACTAAGCATTTTGTAGACTAATTTCAGCAGGTTTCTGTCTTGTTTCTTTTCCCCTTCCATCTCCTTATCCACTTGACTGAAGAGGAGGAACTTGGAAACTTTTAGTTAGGCTAATATCCAGGTTTGAGTGTGTGAGGCCCTCAAATGCTTTGGAGTTTCTGAAAACAATTTGTTATTCTTGGCCAGGCTCTTCAAAATCTGCAGGTATTAGATATGTGCTCTCTATATAAATTCAGCATTGCTTTGAAAACATTTTTAAGATGGGAAGCTCAGGGAGATATTAGTGCTCCAAATGGTTTTTCAATGTTTTATCTAAACTTTAAAGCATAAAAATTGAAGTAAAGGAAGGACCTGTGGAGAAAAATCTAAAGCTTCTGTAGATTCCCCAGTTACATGCTAGCCTCTCAAACTGGAAATGCCATTTAAATTCTTCAGTATATTGTATTGTCGAAGGCTTTCATGGCCGGCATACGATGGCTGGTGTGGGTCTTCCGGGC